CACCTCACAACGTTCGTCTTAAGACGATTACCTTTAATTAATTAAGCAAATTTATTATAACTTTTAAAATATTTACTTCACCCCCACATTAATATAAATTAACAATCAAATATATAGTTTAATAAATGTTTTTATTTTATTTTAATGAGTACTAAAATTATTTATATTATTATTATGAGATAATATTTTTATTTTCATTTTTTTGGCTCGACAGGAGTGATTTCCTGCTCCTACGTATCTCCATGTGTAATGAAGAATCAGAGTCACGTAGTTCTTTGGTAGAAAATATTTGTGTGTTGATATTTTTAAATTAATTTGTTTATTATTCTTCTTTTAAAAAGGTTAGGGTTTTTGAACTGTCACAGCTCATATATCCCAAAATATAAAAATTGACAGAGGTGTACACCAAAGTCAGATATTTAATTATTTAAAAAAAACATTGTTATTGTTAATATTGTTATTATTGTGGTACATATTTAAAAAGATTTTGATTAGATATTTTTATTATTTTAGGAAAATTAAAGATATCAAATTATCACAACTTGTATCTTAAATTTAAATGTTAAAAAGATATTACATCTAATAAACTAATTTTTCCATAAAATCTTCAAATATTTATATTAAAAATGTGATAATACTTTTTATATTATATTTTGAATTTAAATAAGAAGAACTTTAAGATAACAAATTGTCACAATTTGCACCTTTAAGCCCTAAAATTAAGGGAATGTCACATCCCTATAATCCTTTTTAAATGATAGATATTATTAATGTCAATATTTATAAAAGATATTATTCTCAATATTTTTTGTGGAATAGTTACTAATTTTTATCATTCTCATTATTATCATTATTATGTGAAAATCCAACATATAATAACTTTAAATAATCAAATAAAATCAATTGCCTTAATTTTTGTATATAATTATTAGCCTCAATTACATAAATTTAATATATTGTAAATTATACTCCTAAAACCTTATTTTTTTTTCTGAAAAATGAATAAATGGGCTAGGCCCACACATGAGTTAAAAGGAAAAAGAAGACAACAACAAAAAAAATTCTGATTATCTAAAGACCAACACATCAAATGGGCTTGGCCTACATAATTAAAAAAAACAAAAGGAATAACCCTAAACTATGAAACAGAAAAGGGAATGAAAGGAAACCATCAGAAACCCTTATGTTAGGGTTATGAGAGAAGCTCTCTACTTTCTCTCTGCAGACGATGCACTGGTGCTCGTCGGAAGAAAATCGGCGCACGACACCATTGCAGCTGGCCGAGCGAGTGAAGCAGAAAAGGAAAACGGTAGTGAAAGAGAGTAACTCGGAGGTAAGAGGGTCACCGTTGGAAATCATTTTCTGAAGGTGACCCACGGTGATTCTTGTGGGGATTTGTTTGGGGAAGGAAGAAGAAGCAAACACCGCTGTCGAAAATCGTTTCCGATGGCGGTGGCTCAAGGTGGTTTTTGTATTTCGGCCACAGACTCACGGAGCACGGCAGAGAGGTGACAGTGTAAACGAAAGGGAAAAGAAAAAAACAAAATGGAAGAACACACTACTAGAAATCAGCACGTACAACAAATCATTAGGGTTAGTACTTTTCTTTTCTCTCTTTTGCGTAATAAAAATGAGGTGCACACACCATTATCACTATATATACAAAAGAAAATGTTAAAATACAGTGGGTGAAGATGATACCACAAATTTGAGGTTTTGGCTTGTTTGAGTTTTTTCTTCAGATTATATCCCAGCCAACATGGTTTCTCTGTTGCGTTTCTGTTAATTAATTTTTTCATCCTCTTGTTCATATTGTGTTCTGGTATTTATAGGCACACACTTTCTCTTTTTTTTTTTGAATTTGGTTAATCTTTCTCTGCCAAAATCCCTAAATTTAGGGATATGGCTTGTGAATCTGGTTAAGAGGCAATTTTGGAGATTTTTGCAGGGCATGGTGACTTATTTGCAGTGGTAAGGTAGCTCTGTGAGAATTGTAGCAGAGTAGTTGAGGGGGAGCTGTTGCTGGGGTTCACGGAAGATAATGGAAGATACGAGCAACATTTTTTTTTCTTCTTATTTTTCTATTTTGTTTTGTTGTTTGTTTTTTTTTGTTTTTTTTTTTGCTTTTAATTTGTATTATATTTTTTAATATGTATGGACTGGACTTTATCATATAATTTGATTTATATAGGAAGACAAAATTTGGAGTTAACAATCCTCGATGTTAGTTTTCCAATGTCGTTGGAATCACTCAAAAAGGAAGTCTATGACTCTAGTTATGATCAAATTAGTGAACAAAGGTTAGACTATCAAATTTTGACTAAAATGTTGGGGATTGTAATTTTTAAAATAGTAGATGGTAGAATTACTCTTAAGATCAACATAGAAATTATAGATAATTGTCTTAACTTTCTAACAAAATTAAGATCAACTTGATAGCATGTATAAAGCTCTATATATTGTGTTTGGATCACATGAGGTCTTAGAAGATTAACTTATGGAAATGTAGTTTATGGGTAGTGAAGGTGAATGACTTACCCTTTAAGTGTTTGATCTTATAAATAGTTTGAGTTACCTATGTCAATGTTAGGAAAGATAAATCACGAGAGAGGACAATTGTGAATAAGTTATGATGTGAATGATTGTAAATAATTTGAGGTGTTTTGATGATAGTGATGTCTAAGGAATTAATGTATAATATTAATAATGTTGGGGCAACTAGTTAAATTGTTAATTGAAATGCTTAATTTGATGTTGATCTCTTAGTGACTATGGCTAAGGTATTAATATGTGGTTAGATAATTTCATAATGATTCTATCTTGAGGTGTATTGGGTGAAATTGTGTAAATGTGTGTTTGAATTGTGAACATGTGACTCTTGTGTGATGCAATGTGTTGTGTGTGTGCATTGGTTATCTTGTCTAAGGAAAGATTCTTGTGCTATTTGGTGGGTATGATTGATTATGATGATTGAATATGAAATTTTGATTTTATGATGAGTGAATACAACAAATGGAATGATGTTGGCAAATTGTATTGATATTGGCAAATTGTTGTACATGACAAATTGTTGTGAGTATGAAATTGATAACATATTGCATCGAGACTCGTGTGAATATGCATCATGTGCATATTGGAAAATCATTTTGTGTGAATTATGTGAGGGTCATGCAAATTGGAAAATTGATACATATATGTTTATACATATATATTTGACTGGCACTACACTAGTGCAAAAATGAGATTTAAAATCGGAGCTTTAAGATTGGTTACGTTGTAACCGATCTTAAAAGTGATGCGGTGACAATTTTGTAAATAATATGAACATTTTTAAAATCGGTTAAAATTTAACCGATTTTAAAAGTACTTTTAAAATCGGTTATTATATGACCGATCTTAAAAGGTATGTCTGGCACAACTTTTAAGATCGGTTCAAATATAACCGATTTTAAAAATTATTTTTAAAATCGGTCATAATTTAACTGATTTTAAATCATGTTTTTTTTACTACTTTTAAGATCGGTTATATGGGAACCGATTTCGTATGTAACATACAAAATCGGTTCTTAGATAACCGATCTTAAATGTCCTTTTCTGTTTCTACAATTTCGGCCTCCACTCTCTGTTTCGTTCGTTTGTTCGTGCTTAGGGTTCAGGCTTTTCGTTTACCCATATGCATTACATGGAACAAAGAAACTGTGGTCACCATCAAGTTTCGTTTGTTTGGTGACCAGCGTGAGCCATTTCCCCCCGAAGAAGCGCCCCTCCCCCTCCCTGGCCGTGGGTGTGGCCTTGGCGGAGTCGAAGCCGGAGGTGGAGGGCGCCGTGACCCACCACTCCCCGACCCAGGTACTGAAGAACTTCAACGAGATTTGGTGCCGCTCTACGAGACGCGACATCACGCTTCCAATTACTCTCCTCAACACCAGAACCAACAACAGGTCACACTCTCTTCTCTTTTCTCTTCTGATTCGCGCTCTTGTTCCCTCACTTTCGTTAACCATTGTTCGATTTCAGGTGAACGAGAGCGCCAAGGGTACCTTGTTGTCTCTGCTTTCTTCTCGAGGTACGTCTAGCTCTTCTCTTCCACTCACCGAACGAGTTCGGTTATGCTTTCGTCGAATCCCGATCAACGCTTGTTTGGATCCAATTGATGTTCGTGTGTATTGCACTGTGAAGGCGTGAGCCAGCTCAAGGAGAAATGGACCGAATATAACCAACCGAAGAGGCTCAAAAGATTGCTGGCGCTGTTTGTTTCCGGCACGGCCAAACACGTCGCAGTTGCCGCAGGAAATCGGATAACGATTCTGAGTAAAGAGGATGACTATCAGAATCCATGCGCCATTTTCACCAGTGAGATTTATTTACTCTCTGAAATTTTGTCTTGTGTTGGAAAGTGGAAACGCTATTTGATTGCGATGAGCAATTGGTTCGTTAGGTTCCAGCTTTGGTACGTTTAGTGTAGGAGCTTGGTCTGAAGATGAGGACGTGCTTGGAGTTGCTGATGACTCTGACACACTCTATTTTATCAAGTTCACTGGCGAAGTTGTCGCAGAATTTTCGAAGAAGCATTTGAAAGTCTCTTCTTCGATCGTTGCCCTATTTTCAGATATTGATTTGGATACACGCGAGTCTTACCTGTAAGTTTCTTTCCTTTTTCTGCGTTCTGATATACTGTACAAGGAATGGAGAATGTGATTAGTTTGTCACTGATTTCACGGTCCAAAACAATGTTTATTGTTGAGAACTACTTGTCAAGGGAGATGGATGTTAGTTTGAAATGTTGGTACTCTTTGTGGTGTAGGTTTTCCATTGTTACGTCAGATGGCTCGCTTCAACAAATTGAGATCAGTCAGGGACAGAGTGGCTCTACCTTTCCCAAGTACATTTCTATTCACACGAGTAGGATTTGCAACAATGTTTTCTGCTTTGACCGGCATCTTGAACATAATATTTTTGTGGCTGTTCACAAGAACTCTGGTAATTATTTTCTATGTTATAGAAGTGATGGTTTTGAATTTAAGAAGTGCATTATATTATAGACAAACAAATCAATGTAGGCTCTGGTTTACTTCTGACTATTAGTCTGATATTGAGAGATTAAATTATATACTGTGTTTGGCTTCTCTATATGTGTATAATGTTTGATGTCTTTCATTTAAATTTTATTTAGAAAGAAATATAGATTTTATATCTTTTTTGCTGTATGAAAAGGACGTTTTCTGTATAATTTCAGGACTTGGCTTTTAGTTTAAATAATTATATAGTAATTCCACAACAAATAGATGTGGGTTTTCAGCTACCAGAAGGTTTGGACTATATTAGCACTTTTTTTTTATAATGTTTTTACATGTTTAATGTTCTATCAAAACCACCTAATTAAGGGTCTAAACTGTAAAATATGTATCTTGTATGAGTTATATTACGTACATACTCTAATTTCTTCTCAATGTAGTGGTGAGAACTGTCACATAAAAATAAAAATTGTTATGAAAATTGACATTTTGATTATTTTTTTTAAATTATTCTTTTTGATTGATTCATCTTATACAAATTTTTAATCTAAAATTTATGTTGTTTTGAATTTATTTTTTTAAAATTTATTTGTTCACATAATTTGATGTACCAAAACCCTTTGATTTTCAAGGGTACCATAGCAATGTACCTTTTTAATTGGAGGGGTACTGGTACAATTAGAATTCTAATTTCATCCTAAATTTTTTATTTTTAATAATTTATTTATATGTTTTTTTTAAAAAATAATTTATTTATATAATATTTGTATACTTTTGAATTATTTTTATATTTCTTTTAATTTTTCTAATTTCATTTTCTTTCTAAATTATTTAGTGATTTTATTTGCATTTTATATATGTTCTAATTTCCTTTATAATAATATATTATATACTTAACTAATTTAATTTTAATAATTTTTTAGCATATTTTTTTTATTTTTTGTCTTAAATTTTTAAATTTTTATAGTGTAAATTAATTTTTCACTTCTATATTTTTTTTTATTTTTTTAAACATTTTTATATCATTATTACAATTTTATAATTTTAATCTTTATATTTTTTCGTAATTTTCATTGAATAAATATAATATAGATTATTTATTTTATAGTCAAATTAAAATTTTCAATTTTTTTTTATCCACACATGAAAATGTTTTGAAACTTTTATCTTTGGGTAACAACTCTCATTTTAAATGTAACATAATTTATACATTAAAATATAATATATATAATTTATTATGATTTTTTTGTAATATAAAATAAGTTTAACCTATGCTCAAATTAAGATACCATCACTCTGTATATAAATTTATTTATATAACTTTTAAATATAATATAATTTATATATTAGAATATAATATTTAATTTCATATATAATTTCACTCTAAATATATAAATGCAAATAATTATTTCAAGGATAAAAACTTTAAGAGTTTTTCTTCCGATAAAACTTTTTTCTGACATTCTTTTACATTAAATGATTTCGCAGACTTTTACAATTTTTTATTTATTTTAATTTTAATTTATCATATTTATTTATATATTAAATAGTAATATTTTCAAAATAAATTATAATATTTATAATATAAATTTAAAATATAATTTATATGTTCAAAATGCTTAATGTGCTTGGGAAAATGAAAGTCATGGTGAAATCCATTCGTTGTTGTTTGAATTGCTAACATCTGAAGATGTGAACATATTTTTTCTAAACAATTTTGGAAACTGTTGAAGCTGATTCATACTGATATTGCAGCTTGATATGCTACAAGAAGAGAATGAGAATATATTAGAAAAGGTATGTTCATTCACGCTTTAAGTTTGCTTTTTGCTCATGTTATGTGATGTTGAACATAATGCCTGATTATATTCCAGCTAAGACAAGCAGAGGAAAAACGCCAAGAAGTTGAGGCCAGAGCTAGGGAACTTGAGAAACAGGTAATTTTTCCTAGATATTAACTAAACTTTGAAACCTAACAAATGTAGTTTGGATCTATATGCTGCAGTAAGATCTGCTTAACTATACGTAACTATTTAGTTGTCATTCAGTATGCCGAGTTTTCCAATATCTGTATTCTTGTTTATTTTGACTTTGGCAGGTTGCTTCTCTTGGAGAAGGTGTATCCCTGGAAGCTAAACTGCTGAGCAGGTAAACTAGCATTAAATTCTCCTGTATGGTGGCTGGTACAGATACTTTCTTTTTTTAGTTTAATCTTATGAGTTTTGTGTGATATATTTGCAGGAAAGAAGCTGCTTTGCGTCAAAGAGAGGTACACCGAAACAACAGGATATTAATGTGGCAGAAATATGAAATTAATGATGATTGCAAGTTTGAAGTTCTGTGATCATTTTTGCTTGATAACGCACTATTCTATCACCTCTAAGCATTAATCTATAAGATTCATATTAAATTGTTTTTTTTTATTATTTCAATAGACTTTTAAAATCGGTTGTTACATAACCGATTTTAAAAGTCTTGACTTTTAAGATCGGTTATAAATCAACCGATCTTAAAAGTCTACTTTTAAAATCGGTTGATAACCGATCTTAAAAGTCTACCTTTTCAAAATCGGCTCTTTTAAGATCGGTTCCATAACCGATTTTAAAAGTTCAAAATAACCGATTTTAAAAGCCTTTTTTCCACTAGATTCTACATGCATAAGTAAATTGTAGTCTGTGTCCATTGCATTATGCATGTGAATGTGGTTTGTGTTATGAGTTAACTGATTAATGATATAATTAATTATGATTGATTTAATTGTATCTTGTTGTTATTGGTTTGACTATATATATCTATATATGATGATGTTATGTTGTCCTTGAGCATATTTGGCTATCCAACATTTATATTACGCTGTGACCTAAAGTGAGATGTTTCTCATTTCCTTTTTTTTTGTGTTGTTCTATATGTATGTTCTTGCAGGTAAGGCTTATCAAAATGTTGATAATGTTGGTGAAGAGACTAAGTCCTTATATAAGAGTGCTTTAATAAGATATGTGACATTGGGGGATAGATATGATTTATTATTTTGTTGTTTATTCATTCTTTAGAACATGATGTTAAACTATTTGGTTATGCATTTATTTTGAAGTTTTGTTAGAGTATTGACATAAAGAGTTTGTTGTGTGGTATCCTCTGCCAGATTTGATATTACTCATTTGATTACTTATGCATGAACTTAATTTTTTATTAAAGAATTTTTTATTTCACTTATTGTTACATGTGGGCTAGAGGTTACAATCACAACCAACATGTAGCCACCAATTTGACCAAATCATCAACATTCCATGCAACACTCGTCATATGATCCAAGAACTACAAAACTCCACATTTTCACCATACAATCCAAAAATTCAACAACACAACCACATTTAATGAAATCAAATTTCATGCAACTAAACAATAATCCAACAACACCAGGTTCTAGATTCCTTAACATTAGGGTCAAAGTGAATCGAGGAAGAAGAAGAAGAAGAGAAAAGATGAGCTCCAAGCACTCGAAGCTCTGCATCATTGTCCTCACAACAACATTCGAGGTTTTCTAATACATTTAATCCAAGAACAACCAATTAGCTGCACTTTGAGAAGGCTAAGGAAGAAAGAAGAAATCTTAAGAAGACAAGGTCTCTCTCTAACTTATCTCTTTAGGTTCTTTGATAAATGAGTTTATGAGACTCAAATCTCAAAAAGAAACCTTATATACATTTTTCCTTAGGTTCAATTGGACCTCTAGGCAAAGAAACCCTCAAAAATACATAAAGACTCCTCAAGAATTTCTTAATTCCCTAAATCTCTCAACATCCCTCAAAACACTAGAACACACAATTATTTTTAAAAGAGAATAATTAAAGAAAACTTACAATATTACAAAACATTCTTCAAGTAATCAAGAATAGTCTAGCAAAAAATTGATAAAAACAAAAAATAATGACAAATTTTCTTGTACCAAAGACCATTGTCTTATATAAAGAGTTGGTCTCTCCATACGAGTTAATGAATTAAGGTTTGTATCTTTGTGAAAAAATATATTCATATTATTTAATGTTTAGCTATATCTTGAGAAAAATTAATTTTTTGAAAGAGAAGGCCTATAAAAAAATTATATTTTTTTCTAAAAAATAATTACTACAACTCAATATTGTTTGAGGATATTTTTTTCATTTCACAAACAATAAATGCACAAATTAATTGATGTAAGATTATTCTAATTTAATCAATAATTTTAAATTTAAACATTAAATAGTTGGATATACACGAAAATATAATTATTTCACAGTCTTTTTTTTTTCTTTTAGATTATCTCATACTAAATAACTTCAAAAAAAAAAAAATCAGGCACCTCACTTTTTGTTATTTATATTTTATTTTTCTCTCTCTTAATATATTTTTCCCCTCTCTCTTTACTTTCACAACCAACCAAACTCTCAATGTGTAAGAAACAAAATAATTAAATTAAATTCATTTGCAATATAACAAAGTTTATAAACAATTAATTCATAATCCTGTGATCATAAATTAAGAAAAGTAAATATAATTATAATTTGGTTTAAATATGTAATTGTTTCTTGAAAATGTGATTTGATTTGTACCTTTGAATCCTTGAAAATACTAGGTACATGTTTTACATGATGGCAACCTACTAACCAATACATCTGCATCACCAATCGCTAAAGACAAAGTACTTTTAAATTATGACAAATGTTACACGTTTCCTTAGCACGAGACCCTTTTGACATAAATTAAAAGGACACCAACAATTCCTTTTTTCTTTTGAAATTTGACTTACATATCATTAGTCTCATGAAATTGCATATAATATATATAATAATTTTTAAACAATTAATAGAATTAGTTTTTTCAAGAAAAAAGGATAAGGAGAATGTGTAATCTCATAATTTTTATAAGTGTTTATGTAATTTACTTCTTCTCTTTTAGACGTAAAAACAGCACGGTCAAGTTTGAATTTATAATTTCATGTCAGTTAATTATAGTTTTAATTGAGTTTTGTAAATTTTGTATTTTTAGTCTTCATATATTTTGTTTATTTCTATAATGACTAAAAACTAAAATTTATAAAATTACATAAATTAAACAGGAAACAAAAAGAACTAAAAATAGAATATTTTTGGTTATACAAATTAAAAAGGTGAAGTTGACGAAATTATAATGAAAAAATTAATTAAACCTAAATTATATTATTTCTCATTAGATCTGTAGTGTGTCTATAATGCATAGAAATACACACGTTGAATAAAAAATAAGATGAAAGTATTGTAGAATCATAATTAACTACCTCAATTATTGAAAATGTACAATATATATGTAATATTAGTCAAGCTTAACTAAAATAACTTAGCAGTAACGGTTAATCCACGCTTAAGTAAGGTTAGGGGTTCGAATCCTGTCTTGTGTATACAGCCGCGTTAAATCTTCATCGCTATCGACGGTGGATATTCCAGGAACAAACAAAAAAGAAAATAGCTTAGTTTTCATTTAAAATTGTCCTTCGATTCCTTACACCACGAGATAATAACTCATTAATACATAGACAGTTAGATAGATTCCACTGACAAAGTACTAAGAATATTATACAAAGGAGAATTTTCAAACTAACTAAGGAATATAGGAATAATAATTCACCTACAATACGGCATAGGTTGCCATTCTTCGGGCCTAGTACATACTTCAACAATAATAGGTCAAACTTAATAAACAAGAATTACATGTAACATACAAAAATTATTCTTAATATGTGTAAGTATAAATTATTTTATATATATTTATATATAATTTTAAATAAAATTTATGAAAATATTTTATGTGTCGATATAATTTATATTTGAAGGAAAACAAAAATTTGGTATGAGGGGTAAAAATATTTTTATAGCACTTAATATGTAAATAGTTTATTATCATTTATACTTTTTATATCTCTTTCTATCACATTATATATCAATCACACATATTTATAATATGTGTAAATATAAATTTATTTGATATATATTTATATATAATTTTAATGTTAATTTTGAATAGGATTTATATGACATATTTTATGTGTCAATATAGTTCATATTTATGATGGAGGCAAAAATTTGGTTTGAGGAGATCAAAACATTTTTTAACACTTATATGTAAATATTCTAACATTATAAATAATTTATTATCATTTATACTTTTTTTTATCTCTCTTTCTATCACGTTATATATCAATTTCACATATATTTATCTCTTTTTCTTTTCTTAAGTGTAAACTAACATGATAACTTTTATCTATCAATTTGGACAATGATCCTTCTAGGTTCTCCCCTCCCTCCAACCTCTGTTTATAGTTACATTTTTTAATAATATATCAACATATATATTGTAAAAATAATTTTTAGTGACAAATATTTTGTCGTTATAAGGTGTGTGTCACTATTTAACATTTTTTTTAAGTGATACAAAATGTGCAAGTAATTGTAATGTGTGTTTTAAAATAAAAAATTATATGTATTTTTTTTTCTTCACAGTATAATTCTGTAAAATAAACTAAAAATGAGATAATTCAAAAATCGATAGTTTTATTTTTCTAAAATATAGTATTTGTATTTTAATTGTTTAATTGATATCTTGGTTTCTTAATATTACAAAGAAAGTGATGATAATATATTAATATATATGTGATATTTTGTTACATATGACATTGTATATTCATAAAAATAAAAATAGCGTGGAAAAATAAAAGAAAAAAAATGTAATAGAATGATTTTGCATTCATTTTTTTTTAACAGAATGCCTTCATTTATTTAAAAATTAAAATACATTTTTCCTCTCTTAGTTTGATATAATAAAAAGAACTTACAAAATATCCCATATAACTCGATTTTTTTTTAGGTAATATAAACAATAATTTTTTTATTAGAATATAAACAATGAATTAAGAAGAAGAAAAATATTATAATAGCATTTAAATGTTTTTTATCAAAGCATTTTAATGTCTTAAACTTCTTTTTCTTTCGATTCAAATTTTTTTTCTTCCGAAGAAGACGAATATTTATTAGGGACTCCATTTTATCTTTTTATTATTATTATTTCAAATTCTAATAAAAATAATAATTAATGAATAACAAATATTTTTATCAAAAAGTGATTTTAAAAATTTTTTACTATGATTTTTTTTAGCACATTTTAATAAAAGAATTAACATATACTCACGCACCATCTTTGAAAAATAATATTGTTTAAACCTGAAGATAAATATAGATGACAAATTTTACTCTTTCGATATAAATATTTAGCATAATTGTATAAGCGAGACTCAAACTTAATATAATTGATTAAGTTACATCAATCTCACTCATGTTAATTCTTATAATAAATCGATAGAACACTTTTAATATAATTTTTAAGGAAATTTTATTAATTAAGACATTTTAATAATAATTAGAAAAACTTTTTTTTATTTGTTGTTATAACCAAACAAGATAAATATATTTATAAAATTTATATCTTATTCCTTTCATGTTTTATTTTTTATTTTTTAACTAAAAAATGATGATTGTTCACTATGTTAATAATTGATTATTACAAGTGTTTACATGTCAATACATTTAAAGGTTGGTCTCTCAAATTCTCTAGAAAACTTATCTTTGTATTTGATCAAGAATACTTTTTGATATTAAATAAAATAAAATATTTATATATTTTAAAGTTGACAGTTCTGAAGTTAAATCACATTTATATGGTTTAAAGTTTGAGTCTTATTCTTTTCAATGTATTTTTTTTATTGAAAATAAATTTATGTAACAATCTAAATGTCAGTAAACTTATCACAGTTCAGTTATTACATAGCAAAAACATACATATTATTCTAGGGTTATCATGCAACAACTATATAAGTATTTATGAAAGTTATACTTGTATAAGGTAGAAAATAAGCAACTGAACACACACACAACTACACAATACATAATTATGTACAAAATAAGCTCTACTTGTTGATCAAGCTTTTATAAACTACCTGGTTACATCTAAGTAACCTTAACAAAAAGAGACACCAACAACATGAATCAACACTAAGACATCCAAGTCAATCTTGTTGATCCCACACCAAGGCATATTTTAAATCTTAAATCTTAAACTCTAAACTCACACACACACTCATCACCAACAAAAGGGAATTTTAGTTTTCAGAGAACTTCTCTCTAAAATTCTTAAAATTTGAATTTATAAAATTTTCGTTTCAAGAAAAACCTTATATATTTTTTTTGAGATGAACCAACTTATCTTTGACTTAACTAACTTAGAGACCAACTCAACCCTCAAAATCCCTTGACTCTTAAGATCTTAACAACAATACTCATATAAAAAAAATACTCCTATTTGATTTCTACACTTTTTTAATCCATATATCCTTTAATTAGTATAAACCATCCATTATTTTATTTTATGTTTTTTCTCATTTGTTTCGGTCTTCCATATTTCTCGTAAATTACCTTTTAATCATTATAAATCACTTATAACTTGGCACTATCTCTCATTTACTCAAATGTAAACACAAAGGATTTTTTTCAATAATAATCAATCTCTATATATTATATATGAATGATTATCTTGTACAAAAATATTTTCAAGGATTATTCTTTTATGAGAGACTTTTAAGAATTCTTTAAATTTATTATCTAATTCAATTTTATATTTATTAATTATTTAAATTTTAATATTTTTAAAATAAATTACTAATATATAAAAATAACTTTGTACTGCAATATAAATTATTTATTTTAAATTTAAAATATAACTTATATATTTAAAAATATTTATTTATTCAATTTTGAAATAATATATATCTAATCAAATATAGTATATATATATATATATGATTTATTATAAAATTTAGTATATAATAAAAATTTAACCTATAAAACGAACATGCTAAAATGTTAGTATTAATAATAAATAAAAAAATAAAAAAAATTATAAAAGTAATTTTATTTTTATTCATTTGAAAGATTACATGGAAATTTCTTTAAATAGAGAAAAATAGTAAAATTCTCGTTAAAGAAAAAGAAAAATTAAAATTTTTAAAATCAATTTTTTCTTCTTTTTCTCTTAAATTAAAACAAAGACATCATTATTTATATATTTTTCCTTTATTTCCTTTATTCTTTTTAGCATTCATAATATTCATCTACACAATCCAATATAATAAAAACTGAAAAATTGGTTAAAAAATACAAAACTGAAAACTGAATAAATAAAAAAAATAAACAAATCAGGGAAAAAATATTGAATCTGATTGAACCAAATCTAGGATTTAATTTTATGAATGTAATATAAACTTGCTCATACATTTAGAAATTCATGAAGTTGTGAATTTAAAATAGCACTCACATCTATAATTTTAGTAACTACTCGAGTAAAAGTGTGTATATATATATATATATAT